ACCTTTGTTTAAGTTTTCAGGCAATTCATTATCAAATAAAAATCACACTTTAGTATGAAGGTATGTTAAGATGCCATGTCTCTAGTCTGTTGAAAATTCGATGCGATAATCTGACCTAAACTTTCTGTTCAATATAATTGTGAAAACTTCTTCAATACTGTTGAAAGATCATATCTGCCTATATCTGTATCAAATTTATCGGTGCACAGCGTGAAATACCTTTGCAAAACGGTCACCTCCTTTACAAAATAATCTGTAGTTGTATCATATGTAGCTCAATTTTGAAAATTTAAAGTTTTTTAATGGAGAAGAATGATACTTAAGTGCAAATATAGAAAATACATTCCGTAGACCTTTCCTCATCGGCGATAAAGACATGCAATACGACAAAATCAGAAGCAAAGTTTCGCGGCGCTGAAAACGGAACGCATAACCTACTTGCAAAAATATATTGTAGCTTAACCATTTATAATATAATTTTACAAATTTAATGTTCAGTTTTAAATGATAACGCTCATCTGTTCTCATCGATTATTAAAATCGGCACGTAAAAGACATAAGTAATAACGGAATTGACGGAAATTGTTGCTAATTACAAGTAACAAAGGTAGGCATGCAATTTGCGCATAGCTCTCTTCCGATAGCAAGAGACCTTTTCAAATTTTGTAATTCTTTTTTTTTCTCTTTTTTTTCTTTAAAAGGTCATTCCTGATTAATACAAGTGCAGGGTCAAGGAGAGGTTACACTGGAATCAAAAATAGTAATCACTCCCATTTCGAACTCACAGGAACAATTTTAGAAGCATGCTAAGGCAACACTGGAACACGTTGTCATATGGGTGTGCGATCTTGTGTGTCAAGTGTTTCAATGTATAATGCATTTGATACAGCTTTTCGGAATTTGTAGATGCTTATGATATGTATTTAAATGCGACTGAAAAATGCAGCCTTAATAGAATTGTATTACATTTCCATTTTTATGGAACCAATGAGTGACCTCTGCTTTTGACTTAAGTTTTGTAAACAAGAAATGTTGTTGGACGTTATTAGCATACCTAGCACATAATTTAAATAGTTTAAAACCAATATGCAGCCTGCAATGAAAATACAACTGCGTCGTATCATAATTTTTTTTTCAACTGCGTCGTATCATTTCGTAAAAATCATTATTTTCTTGGAAAATAAACATCTCTTTTTAATGGAAATTTAGTAAATGATGCAAAATTATGTTTTGAAGTTTATGGTGAACTCTGAAAACGAGTATATAATTGATTTGAAGGAAAAACGATAGATACAGCAATATGAACTGCGTCGTATCCACACATTTTCATAAAAATTCTGCTCCGCTTCGAGTTGCAAGTTCGCTGTAACTTTTGTTTTACAAAATAGTTGTCTAAGCAACATATACCGAACGAAGCGGAAAATAGTGTAGCATGTTAATACATATATCTGGTTTTCAGTCATTTCCAACAAAAAGAGTTATAAACAAAAACATACATTTTTCGTTCCAAGATGGCGGCGTTTGTTTACATTTTGTAGGATACGACGCAGTTTTGATTCCCAGCCCTGGTAAATTTAATCCAATAAAGCAAACAAAAATCATTTATCTGAAAAAAAAGTGTTGCTGTTTTTAGAAATGCTGTAAGTTACAGGTGTGTAAATTGATTTCCCCTAAGGTCACTCAAGTCCATGCGGAGTGTAAAAAAAAGAAAAAGATGTCTATTACGTCATCAGAATATTTGACAGGGTGATTAACCAATCAGGGAAACATTGTGCATGGCTTTTTTTCATGATCAAAAGGTCTGTCTGTGTATGCTTTCTACACAGAGGCAAACAAGGAGCAATTAAATTCGTCAGTATGTATACAGTGTGACAGGAACATTTTGTGCAAATTACGAACAATTAAAGTGGATAATGCACAGTATTAGACATAAGTAGTAAGAAAATATAAATTATGCAAATTAGATTTTTGAGCAATCAATAAAAATTGTTTTGCCTGCAATTAATATTAGTACCAAAAATAACTTTTTATACACTTTAATTACTTAATTGCTTGTTATAAAAACATGCAAAGGATTAGTCCTTCCATTTCCTTTTTTTACATTTTGACGTTTATCGGAAACTGCGAAACGGATTTTACCCATGCAAAAAATAGCTTCAAATTCGCGGTTACGTCTAAATATTTGGACTTGTCAAGGATCTGCTATTTAAAAAAAATTCTGCTAAGACGCATTTATTTTGCTACATGACTCATTGATTTTGCTAAAGGACTCATTGTTTTCAAACATGTGCGTCATCCGACGCATTGTAAGGAATTTCTAGATTAATCACTGTATAAATGTATGGAAGGGCACATTAGGTCTTCCTCCAGCTGACCCGAGCTGTATCCACATAACTCAATTCTTCTTTTGCAAGAGTTACCCCCCTTGCATTCTTTTTTTTTCTCCAACAAAAGTTTTTGGAAATTTTTAGCGTGAAAATGAAAATTTGGCAGTTTGACCAGTTAGAAAAATACCGATTCACAAAACACATATAAATTTGTGTCTATTCTACTCATTGTACTCCAAATTTTATGTCGGGACGGGTTGTTTCTTGAATTTGTTGGAGAGATTTGGAGTTTACTCCTATATTTCGATATATCTACACAGTTAATTCCCCTTTGTGCAGTTTTTCTTTTTTCCTTGTCCTAAATAATAAGTTCAATATGACAGCTCATTTAAATCAGTATATAAAATTACCTTCACAGGCTTGCAGCTCTATTTTTCCATTTTTCCGATAGCTGTTATTTATAAAAACAGGTGTGAGTGTTCGCTGTTAAAGAGCATATATAGTTTTATTAATAAGTTGGTGAAAGTGAATTAAAGTGCGATGCCAGTGCAACAGAAGGTATATTATGATTTATGTGAAAAATGTATTTCTGTGCGTTTACTCAAATGAATAGCTGTCACAGTTGAAGTTAACACGTAAATACATGAAAGGAAGGTTTTAAGTCTTACTCAATATTTATTGGAACAAAATTTTATGGAGAGGTGTTAATGAAATATAGTTTTGATAATGTAGAATTTAATAAAATCAGTGGTTGGGTTTTAAGGGCATGTACCAGTTCCATACTTTTGACGGACAGACTAAGGCTGTCATTGATGGAAAATTTTGAATCATATTATATCAAGAGACAAATAATATTTGATATCGACTATATATCGACTTTGACAGTAGATATAGTGAAAACCATTTAAATATGTGTTATAAATTGGGATCATGGTGTTATGCATGCTTGTATTAGACATTACAAATGCTACAAACTAACAGAAAGTTTATTTTTATGTTATTTTTGTCACTGATATTTGAAAACGGAGTTTAAAGTTCAAGTTAGTCAAGAAAACTTGAAAAAAGTGACTTCTTTCATTTGGCAAAATCGAGAGGTATATTCACTTACAGAAATAAATAAATTTTAGCTTGCATTGATATTTGAAAATGACTATATCGAATTATCGATTGTAATTGTATCAGATGATGAATATTAATGATATATCGATATCGCGATATTAAATGACAGCCTTAGGACATACCCATACTTTCAATGGTTCTTCAATACTGACCACACAGATGTTATTTAATAGTTAAATTTGCAAGAGTCTGGAAACAAGAAGATATGAAGTTTTTTAATGTATCACGCAATGTTAACAAATATCTTTCTATTTAGTTTCTTACATAATTATATAAGTATTTTTATGCAAACTCTTTTAAGATATGTCTTAACCTTTGTTTATACTTGTCAAAAATACTTCTCGTTAACAAATATTTTTTATACTCTAAGTTATAAGTATTTTGAGGCAAACTGTAACTTATAACACTTTGCACAACACAGTATCTGAATGACAATAAATTGTATGTATACAATTTTATGTTGAATAAAATATATTTAATGTTATGTTATAAACAGTTATGTTATGTTATGTATTAGGGCCAGTGTGTAGTCATGGCCAATTAACACAGATGTAATTGTTTATTCAGTCAATTTGTGGCATTTTATATTTGATTTAATTAATTTGTAGATTTGGCGTACACAGATGTACTCATTAATTTAATCAGTTTCTAGATGTGGCCAACACAGATGTTAACATTTACTAAATCAATTTATAGATGTGGCCAATACAGATGTTTTTGTTTATCCAATCAGTTTGTAGGTAACTCCAACACAGGTGATAAAATTTATAGACTCATTTGGTAGATGAAGTCAATGCAGATGTTATTGTTTTTTTACATGCAATTAAATTGTTGATATGACCAACTCAGATGTCATTGTTAATTTAATTAGTTTAATGATATGGCCAACACAGATGCTTCCAATTATTGGATCAATTTGTAGTAGCGGCCATCACAGATGTTGTTGTTTATTTAATTAAATTTTAGACATACTAGCAGACACAGATACTATCAATTAAGGGTGTAACGGTTTACCGATATATTGCAATATGAAAAAATAAATTTTGTACCGCGGTACGATTTTTGGAAAACCGGTATTTTATTAAAATCATAATTTTCAATTAATTGCCTTCTAATTTCATGCATTATTTAATATTGCATAGAAATTTATTGGCGCCAACGTAATATAAAAATACCCGACAACTAGTACACTTAAAAGTCAATAAGCGGCGGCATATTTTACATCAGCGGCCCGGATGTGAAAGGTCACACGCAACTAGTTTTGTTTATCAAATTGTGTGACAGTCTTTACTTTCTATTTAGTCCTTACATTTTTATTAAGTTTTGACTAAGAATATATACATAAATATAATAATATATAATGTTACTTCATCTTTACATCAAAACATATACACAACAATACGTATTGCAATATATTGCAATACGCTTCTGCAACATGGCAATTATATTGCAATACGGTTTTTGATGTATTGTTACACCCCTACCATCAATATTTGAATCAATATGTATAAGTGGTCAACACAGCTGTAATTGTTTTTTTAAATTCAATTATAGATATGGCCAACACAGATGTTATAGTTCACAATGACTGATTGCCGAGATGCTCAGAAGGTGAAAGCAGACAACTATGGAAGTGCAGTCTTACACAATCTTGATAAATTACGCGAGAGGTCGGAACTTTGCGACTTTAAGGTGTCAGCAGATGGGAGAGTGTTTGAGGTGAGACAATTTTCATATAATTTTTTTCATGATTTTATTTCAGTGTAATTTCCGACAAAATTTAAGATATTTAAGGTATTATCCTGCCCGTAATCCTGGTATATGACAATTTTTCTACCAGAAATTAGGAAAAAGGCTTTTGGGAATTTCAGTGGCAATTTTTTGTCAAACTGGGAAAAATTAGAGAGTAATTTTCTCAGTGTCACAATTGGTTTGACTGTCAGGCAAATTCTCTAGGATATGCAAAATTAAAATATGCTTATTTTTTCCCAATTTTTGTGTCGCCTTGAAAAGGTGACATGTAGGGGTTACTTTTGTCGGCAGCATCGGCGGCGGCATCTGTGTCGTCGTCGTCCCCTAAAGCTTGTCCAGAGCATAACTCAGTCACTATACTATAAGTCTGATTGACTTCAAACTTGGTATGCATGCTTCTTTCAATAACCCGAAGTGCAGTGCACAAGGACCGGTACTCTGCAATTCTTATTTTTTGAGTTATTGCCCTTTGTTAATTTTCATACTTTAATTTTGTCCGGACCATTTCTCTTCAACTAAAAAAGCTATGGACTTGAAACTTCATAGGATGATAGATCTCATTAAGAAGAAGTGCAGTGCACAAGAACCGGTACTCTGCACTTCCTAATTTTTGAGTTATTGCCCTTTGTTAATTTTCATACTTTATTTTTGTCCGGGCCATTTCTCCTAATGTATAAAAGCCATGGACTTGAAACTTCATAGGATGATAGGTCTCATTAAGAAGAAGTGCAGTGCACAAGAACAGGTACTCTGCATTTCTTATTTTTTTGAGTTATTGCCCTTTGTTTATTTTCATACTTTAATTTTGTCCGGGCCATTTCTCCTTAAGTATAAAAGCTATGGACTTGAAAACTTCATAGGATGATAGATCTCATTAAGAAGAAGTGCAGTGCACAAGAATCGGTACTCTGCATTTCTTAATTTTTGAGTTATGGCCCTTTGTTAATTTTCATACTTAATTTTTGTCCAGGCCATTTCTCCGAAAGTATTAAAGTTATGGACTTGAAACTTCATAGGATGATAGATCTCATTAAGAAAAAGTGCAGTGCATAAGAACTGATACTCTGCATTTCTTATATTTTGAGTTATTGCCCTTTGTTGATTTTCTTACTTTATTTTTGTCCTGGTCATTTCTCCTCAAGTATGAAAGCTATGGACTTGAAACATCATAGAATGATAGATCTTATTGATAAGAAGTGCAGTGCACAGATATGCTGCTCTGCACTTATTATTTTTTTAGTTATTGCCCTTTGTTATTTTTCATATTTCATTTTTGTCCTGGCCATTTCTCCTAAACTACATTGTTCACAAGGCGACACATCCGACTCGCGGAGTTCTAGTTGAATGTACTGATTGAAAAAATTTATCAGTGCAGGTGAGGATCAGCGAATGGATATACATCTTGCAAACAATAGACTTTTTAAGTTTATTTATAAGTAGTTGTTATTTGTGAAACAAAAGACGATTCATATTGTTACTAAGAATGACAATTTTTGATCTATATGATTTGCAGTAGCGTGGGAGTCAAAAATAGTGAAGATCATGCTAAGTGTCAAAAGTTTCCCTTTTAATATATAATTCAATGCAGTATATTTTATGTAGGTGTTTTATGGGTTGGAAAGTTATTTTTGTGTGCACTTTATGGTAATACTATGTTATTATATTCTTTGTTTAAAGTTCAAGGAATCTCGCTAGTGACTTCGGATTCTTTCTTGTGAGGGAGCTTTCTGATTGAGCTAGCTTTTATAGAATGTTGATAGTTCTACTCAAATACCCATTTGAATGTTGATGGTTCTCTTGAAAGTTCATAGTTATACTCAAAGACCCACTCAAATGTTGATAGTTCTACCCAAATGACCCAAGGTCTTCCTCCACCCATTAAGCTGTAAGGTATTCAACCTTTATTGTTGTGACATAAAGCCAAGACAAAAAAAGTAAGTTCAAGGTCACATTATTGGTAGGAAGAACCTTACAGTTTTTCATTTAATATCGTAAAATCTCTTAATTTATAGGTGTTAAGCTATTATGTATGACATACTCATTTAAATTTTGTCTTTGAATTTTGAATATTTTCTGGACAGATGTTATACAACCTATATACACATTAATAATATCTGTCATATTTTGCGGTTCGGATCGGAATATCCGTCCCAAGTGAACCGCCCATGGGGCGGTAACGAGGCTTGCCGAGTTACCACCCATGGGCGGGTGACCGAGGGACGGATATTCCTATCCGAACCGCAAACATATGCCAGATATTTTTTCTTGCATATTCTACCGTATCCCACTATATTTTTAATACTTTATCTTTAATTTCAATAGAAATTTATATCATTACAACCGTAACTATTTTCTTACAACAGTGTATGAATTACAACTTCATTCATAACGGTGAAATGACGTCATCCTAAGCGTGCCATTGTACAGCACGCGACTCATCTGGCACCCCCATGCCAGATGAAATTTCCGGCATGGGTAAAACTCACGGAAATGTCAGTCTGATATGCAAGAAATATATATACTTATATATGTTATACAACTGATGCTAAACTATTTGCGTATAGAACTAACGTACATATGTAAGATTTGATGGATGTAAGGTATTACTTACCATGTTCTATTCTAAACAATATGCAAATATATCGGAAGATTGTCACTTTTTTCCTCGGATATTTCTGAATCCAATACATGTTTGATCATCACATTATGCCATGTACATAGTCTGTGCTTATACTTATATTGAATGAAAAATCTACAAGAAATCTGCTATGCAATAAACTTGAACAGAGTTCTCTCAGTAGGGTTTCTCTATAACTCAAGTGTGGGTTATGTTACTGTGTCACTACCCAAAACAATTGATTATTCTTGTTATTTAATGCTAAAATCACTAAATGAAGTTTGTATGTCTTATCATCGGCAAGCAAAAATATAATTATTTTTGTATAGACATGGATTTGGCTATAATTGTTTTCTGTGATTATCTAATATGATGGGGCGTCTGTGGCCGAGTGGTTAAGGTCGTTGACTTCAAACTCTGGTGCCCGTTCGTGCCTGAAATAAAGCATGGTAGGGCACCTTGAGGTCTTCCTTTACCAGTAAAGCTAGAACGATGTGATATGACCTATACTGTGTCGATGTGACGTAAAACACAAAACAAACAAACAAACGAAAATCTAATATGATTGCTACAGGTCCAATAACTCTGAGTAATGTTTTTACAGAGATATGCTTTTGTTAGTGTCAAGCACTGAGAATATATGGTCGTGTGCCCTGTGTTACGGATAGTTTTTGTTGTAGCTTTATTCAAGCATTTGTTACCATTACTAAGTTTATCATACATGTATTAGATAGACAGTTCCCAATTCAAAGCTGTGGTTAAGTCCATTTTAGAAATTTAGCTTGCCATACTTACGAGATAAACTGTCATGAAATTTTCATTGATGGTAAATATGTTTGGTCATCAGTCCTGGTATTCATGATTGAATCTTTAACAAGGTTATAGTGAGATTTTAAGGGCCAATTTGAGGGTTAAAATTCGGCCTCATTCCCTTTCAAAGAAAGTATATATTTTTCCCCTATTATTGAAAAAAAAACAACCTCCAAACCTTTTTTGTAAAAAATATTAAAAAAGTAATGGTATTATGTCACAATTTTACTTACAATTTACTGTTTAATCCACCTCTATATTACCGGCGCAATTTTTCCCCTCTCCAGGGACCCTTTAGCAATTCCCCTAAAAGTGGAAAAAAAACTCTTATATTGTGTGGCATTTTAAAATAGATTTTAGAGCAAAATGACAATTTGACAGAAAAGTGAAGGTTATACTTAGATATTAAAATAGAACATCAATGCTAGATCATGTCTGGTCATATCAGTTTTAATTCTTTGTCATTCATTCATGGATGCTTCTTGAAATAATGGAGCACACTGACTGATGATGTAAGAAAATGCTTGTTAATGTTTCTTTATTTTGTAACTCTATTTATGAAGTAATCATTTAACCTTGCCCTTGCTGGAAGTCAAAAGTTGTGTCCCTATGAGAGCAAATTTACCAGTTTTTTCCAGGGATTGCAAAGTGGATCCCCTGATAATTTTTTGTAAAATTACTAACAGTCTAATAAATGAAACTTAATAAGACACATACAAAGCTTTGTAATAATGCATTACACATTATTATATTAGTTTTATAAAGATTTTTGACAGGTTCTTTGGTCTTATATAAACTGTTGTTTGGAAATATAACCCAAGCTCAGCTACGGAAGGGTCAAATTTCAAACAACCATTTATATATGGCTATATAATCTGTAGGAAATATTTATAACTAATTTTTAATACAGCAAGCATCAATCAATTTTAAGAGAAAAAAGTAATATTTTTTCATAAATTGATAGTAGCTTTGTATATAGATCTATATAAATATCATGATTATTCAATGAAAAGTAGCGTAACAAACATCAAATTACCTTTGCCACCAATCTAGAGCCAGAGGAGCTTGCACATCCGTGGCACTCGGACTTTCTTTAAATTCTAAAATTTCATAAATCCCATGATATGAAATGGGCGTGTCAATTTAAGAAATTCAGCCGATTAAAGCTGCATGCTTCCAGAGGAGTCATAATATTTCAAGAAAATCAAACTTGAGAAAAATGTTCTAAGATTTTAATTAAGGTAAGTACAAAGATTCAAGATTAAAGTAATCATTTGCATATTATGTGTGATTATTGACTGATATTAAAATATTTAGTACCATACTGATATTGAAGTATTTAGCACCATATTCCTACTGCAATAGTCTTCTACTTTGTGACTAACAGTGAGTGAGTCAGTAAGGGCTATTTTTGAATATTTTTGCTTCTGTTTGGTTAATTTTACGAATACTGTAAGTGCCTTTTGCAATGTGTAAAATTACTTTCTTTGTTCACTTTTTAAATAAATATATGAGTACTTGCAAAAATTTTCATGAAAATTAGCATTTATCTGTAGGCATCCTGCTTTAAGGGTTAATGACTAACATTATCCTCATGGCAAATGTTTGTATTTACATTAAAACATTAATTTTAAAGAAAAATAAGATTACCTTCAAACACTTACGATATAATTTTTTAAAATTTACTTTGATTAAACTGGTATTAAGATCCTGGTTAAAGAACTGATATTTTCTCTCTAATTGACCAATTATGTATAAATAATGTTGTTTTGATCTGAAAAAAAGGCAAATAAAGCTTTTAAGAAAACTCTGTGGGGATTTTTTTGACATTACTACAATAAAACGTCTAAACTGTTTTATTTGTAGTGAATAAAATCTTATGAAAGGGAAAAAAACAAGTGCATATACGGTGTTTTTAATGGTATTTAGTCATTAGATGTCAGTTGTTTCTTTGATTACGCAACAGTTAATTTCCTAGAATTGTTTTTATAACTCAGCATAACTGTGCGATGAATGGTTTGTGGGTAATTATGAGGATGTGGCCCTTTGAAATACCTATATTATCATGTAGAGACAATAATTGATGGGTAACTTTAATGTTATATAAAAATAGAAAAAAATAGAGGTCGATATTGTTGAGTTTAGTTATGAAACATTGAACTTATAGGTGTTGTAAGAGTGCTTATGCACCTTATATTTGCAGAAGCACAATTAGGATGCATTTTAAGACTGAGTCTGCAGGGTGAAGGATTTTATAAGTCGTCAGGGTTTCTGCAGATGTAAATGCGCAAAAGAAGGTGCATTAATGCTGTTAACTATGTCAACTATCTATATTTTGTATAAAGAAACCATATTGCAATACTTTTCACATGCCAGTGGGATGTCATTTTGAAAGTTATGTTTTGATAAAGAAACTACCAGGGCTCACATTAAGCTGATTTTACATCAGATTGTGAAGCATATTTAAATCTTGCAACCAAAGGCACATGGTCACAAAAATCTATCCGTCCGTGAATTTGCAATGTCCAGTTGTTTTGCAAGAATGCAGATTATGTTTTTATGACAATTAAATGTAAGACTTGCAATTTGTGGCATCCTGTTGAAAAATTCAAGAAAAAAAATGTGCTTACTGTCTTTTTATGTTAATCGCAGTTTTCACCTGCTGAAGCTCAATAAAGAGAGCAGCAAATTTGCAGTTCTAGGGTGGGTCGTGGCTGGTTCATTCCTTGGAAGAGGCCAAATTGTTCCATGGAAATTCATCTGATACATTGAGTCTAATGTTCATTTGTGTCCGAGTGCTTATTCAGACATCATGTGGTAGAAGTCACAAATCTGTTCCTTGCGGAGAAATTAGTATTCTCTGGTTGGTTATCTAGGAAAACTGTTAGTTGGGTCAACAGCAGATATATTATTAAAAGAAATATGCTTAAATCACAGTATAAACAAACAAACAAGTGGTCAACATAGGATATATAATTTTAATTTTATTTAATATTTATGTGTATTATACGTGTAGGTGATGTAATTTTAGGTACTTTTGAATTTCAGATTTATATGGAGCTCTCATAGATCAAAACAATACAATGTATCGTCAGTATATTTTTGCCAATCAATAATCAATATGCATTTGGAATTATCAATAATTTTGACTAGCTGATAAAATTCACTTCAAACATAATTATACAGAAGCAAGCCTGGTGTCCATGTATAAAACTATGCTGTTGTTTATGTAATGGTACTGAACTAATTTAAACAGGTCCATATGTGAATTATAGAACAGTAATGTTAAGTAATAATAAAGATATATCATCAATATTTGTCATCCGATATTGTTATATATTGTTTATATGCTTTGCAATGGTTCAATACAGATCAACATTTAAATTTTGTTTTGTGTTTATAACAGGTGATTTTTCTTTTAGTACCAGTTGTTACCAGTAATAGGTGATGTATATATTTGTTGTTTGACTATCATAGGTGATTTTTCTTTCGTTTCCTGTTCAACAGTTATAAGTAATTGTTGATTTATACTTTCAGGTCCACAAATGCTTGCTTGCGGCAACTAGTGATTATTTTAGGGTCATGTTTGGAGGGGTCATGACAGAAAGCAAACAGAACATGGTAGACCTAAAAGGTAATTCTGACATGACTTGTGATTTTGTCGCATTTTAAAACACAACATTAGAAGAAAATAATTGATGTGTTTAATACACAATATAAGAAGAATAATTGATGTAAAACTGCCAATAATTTCGTTGTGATTAATCATGAAATCCTTTCTACGGTCATTCCCACTGTACCTCTCCTCTGGTATGTACAGATGTAATCAGTTCCTTGCGAAAGTGAAGGCAACTAGTACAGCTAAACTGCTTGAAAGCCTGCCCAGGAAGGATGCTGTGGCTGAACTGTGCTCTGGTAAATTCAATATGGCTTATAACCGTGATCTTGAGTGAACACCACCACATAAATATATAATATATACTTGTACTTCTTCTGATAAAATAATAATTCATCATAAACATTGGCAAACATAAATAAAGCATTATTATTGATATTTTCCTTTCCTGTAATGTTTTCTTTTCATATTATGCTAAAATAACATTTTACAGACACAAATGCAGCGAGTTTTGAATTATATCTTTATCTATTTCGTTTGATATAATGTATTATAAGAATCTACTCCATTCATAACCAGCAAAATAATACCCTCCTAAGTACCCAATTTATTTAAATGCAAAGAGACAGTGTTTTTTCACCTTAAATAACAGAGGCCTATAAAAGGTCTCTTCCAAATAGAAATTTTTGTTGAAATCATGCAGTTTTCCAAAAATTCTGAACTTCTACTTAGCAATAAGTTTTTCCAAAAATCAAGAGGCTAAGGCTTCTTTCCAATTAAGTGAGACAAACCACTGACAGAAAAACCACTCTGAGGCCCATGGCCTTCATGGTTCATATTTCTGACAGTCAAACTCCAAACCAGTGTTTAATTATTATAGCCAATAAACACTTAGATGAATAATCTTTCTTAAAAATGTACTTTTTATCCGGTCAGTAGTGTTTTGGAAATTATTAATTTTTATTATGTTCCCCGAAAAATTTCGGGGGAGCATAATATTATAGTCGCCGGGCTGTCCGTCAGTCTTTATGTACGTTCCGAATTAATATCCGGCCCATTACTTTGTTATTTGAAGACGGATTTTACAACTATTTCACAGAAATGATAACCATATTGAGACAATCTGTCGTGCACAACATTTGGGTTGCTACCTTGAAGGTCAAGGTCACAGCATGACCTTGAAGCTAAATCGTGTCCGGCCCATTACTTCGTTATTTGAATTCGGATTTTACAACTATTTCACAGAAATGATCACCATATTGAGACGACGTGTTGCGCCCAACATTTAGGTTGCTACCTTGAAGGTCAAGGTCACAGTATGACCTTGCAGCAAAATCGTGTCCGGCCCATAACTTCATTATTTGAAGTTGGATTTTACAACTATTTTACAGAAATGATCAACATATTAAGACGAAGTGTCACGCGCAAGTCAATAGATAGATCTCATTGAGTAGAAATTTGCAGTGCAAAGAACAGTAACTTTGCCTTGCCTAAGTTGGAATGATCACACTTTGAACTTTGTCTGGGACATAACTCTGAAACTACAAAAAATATACTTTTCTGCGTCCAAAACCTAGTCGTGGAGCATTACCCAATTCAACCGACTCTTGTTTTTAAAGAAACTTCTTGAAAAGCATATTAAAATAAACCTTTCTCTAATAATGAAGTCATATTTCTCTTAGGGATGAAAATTTCACTCATCCATCTAAATTTATTAGTAGAATTTCAAAACAAATTAACTGTAGGATCAGTATAAAAAGTACAGTCAAACGTGTATTAAGCGACCGGGCAAGGGAAACACCAAAAACGGTCGCTTAATGAAACGGTCTCTTAAGACAGTCAGCATGATATAAAAGTCAAAATTTATAAATGACATCTTTTTTATTTGATGGGATTGTTTTTCAACTTCATTTTTATATAAATATTGAATAATAAGTACGCATGTAAAAATAACGTTCTGATATTTATTGACAAAACAGTTTTGATCCATTACGTACATGTTTGACATTTTTTCCAGAATTTTTTAACTTCTCCGTTGTTTTCCTTGTCTCCAACACGAAAACCCTATTAGTGAAGATGTTTTCTGTTGTGCAATTTTTCATTTGATTTAAACAAACTACATCTATTTGTTACGATTAATTTAATGGCTGATCAAGTTCAAGGTCAATTCAATGCAGTCTAAATGTCAACAAGCGAAGCGTATACACCATCTCAGTATGGGCGGAGCGTTGCATTGTTTATCCGATATTATTGGATAATACACGTCACGCGTATACTTAACTTCATTTGCATACGCTAAAACGGTATGGGAAATAGAGTTTTTCACACGTTTATTGTTGTGTTTTGATTGCTGACACTTGTGACATAACGAGGTGGCGTTCTCTAAAAACACAATTACTTGACAGGTAAAAGTGGTCGTTTAATGAAAAGATTGATGTAAATTAGGTGACTAATTAGCGGTCGCTGGTCGCGTTGAGCAAAAGTCGCTTAATACATTAAAGATATAGAGAGAAAATGATCGGGGGGAATTTAAAGTGGTCGTTTAAGACAAAAGTCGCTTAATACACGTGGTCGCATGGGCAAGTTAGACTGTAGTAGAAAAATATAGACTTCTTATAGAATTTAGCAGTTAGTCAACCTTCAGGGAAAGTCACAGGTTTTGATCCCTGTCGCCTAAGTGCCCTGCTTTGCATCCAGTGGCATTCATATTTAGATTTTTATACAATATTAATAAAACAGAACAAGCAACAGGTTAAGTTTTAATATATGTTTATTTATGAGAAACCTACGTTCCGAAAGAACAACATGTGAACAGTCTGGCATACATAACTGAGTTCATGAAAACTAAGGTGATGTTCACATAAGCAACAATTTTTTTTTTAATCAATATTGCATAAAGGGAAGTATTGTTATGAATATAATGTATAGCAGTTTTTGTTAAATGCATAAGAATTACAGTTCATTCAGAAAACTGATCGAGATGTTAATAGTACACGCTGTTCTATTTACTTTTCTCAAGTGATTCTTTGTGATTTTGTGATACATTTGTTAGAACTTTGTCTTGAATGTGTTTATTATTAGCAATATATAAGTGGCTTCTGATTTTCATTTATGCTATTTTGTCAGCTGCATTTCTCAGTTGTGTTTGTAAGCACCAAGCAGTAGTAACCCCGACTCCCCCCCACCCCCTGGTATATAGCAGGCACTTTTACCTTTAGATTAATAAACCCCTCAAGTTGAAAGGTCTTGCTTTATTTAGACAGGCAGATGGTTAAATCCCCTGTAAATTCCCTGTCACTGTTACTGCTAGTTTTGGCACCAAGTTACCCACTCATTTAGAAACAGATGGAATATAACAAATTCATTTCTCATAAGATGGTTGACTTTAGATCACTTTCCTGTCACTGCTGTGGGTTCAAATCCTGCCAGGGACTATGGATTCTTTCATGTGTGGAAGCTATCCAGCTAGCTAACAGAATGACTAGGTGGTTCTCTACTAGGGTGCCTGTTTGTGCCTGAAATAATGCTTAGAGAGGCAGCAGATCCCTTAATACTTCACCAGAAAAACTGGAAGGTTGCCATTTAATGTTGGTGGCATTTGAAACCCTGCAATAAAAGTAAATAAAAGTATAAAAAAATGAACTTATTAACAGTCACAATGTGTTCTTGGTCTGCTTTATTAATTTGTCTCTTGTCAGCAGCTACTTTGTTTGACACTATCAGCTGTGACTTATTATTTTTTAGCGTTACCATGTCAGCGCTACCTTGTTTGACCAGCTCTACCATGTATATTTAATGTACTTGATAATTTTTCTAACTAGACAAAACCATTAAATGAAGGGGAAAATTTCAAATTTTATTTTCCAAAGTGCATTTTTTAATTTATATATATTATTTATACATGTATAATATGGTGTTTCATGCCTTATTTTATATTTGGTATTATCTGTGATTTTCAGGTGTAACAGCCGATGGTCTGCAGTATGTTCTGGACTTCATCTATAGTGGCGAGATGCGTCTACATTTCGACAATCTCACTGAAATTATCAACACGGCCAGTCACCTGCAGGTGCAATCCGGTCTTGATCTCTGTAGTTCATACATCATCTCTCTCATGACCTTCGATAATGCTGAAGATTTTTTAAGTATCGCAGACACGTATTCGCTGGATAAAGTCCTCGAGCACTGGGACCATATGATTCAGAGCAACTTTTACGATTTCAGCCAGACTTCTCATTTTCTTAAAATGAATACCGAAACGTTGATAAAGCATATATCAAAAAATAAACTTAGAATTTCGTCAGAATATAAATTGTTTCGATGTGTCGAAAAATGGTTTTATTTCAATAATACAAGAATCACCTCTGATGCAACGTCCATTTTGAATCATATACGATTTCCGCTGATGTCACAAATGGAGTTGGCGTCTGTTCAGGAAAGTGATGTTATTAAAAGGTGTCCTCAGGGAGTACAATTCGTCGCAAAGGGTTTCCGCTATCACATGGAGAGTAAAGATGGACATCCTAGTATGGAAGTGGTATCTAATCTCAGGAGTGAATCCCCTTGCTTAGTTTTTGTTCATTACGGATCATCATACATACCCTTTCAAATCACTGCTTACGATAGTAGGACACGCATGTTTTACAGATTATTCTCAGATGTTAACGGGAGTAGAGACTGTCGCGTGGCTGTTATTGATAACTTTACGTATGTTTGTCGGGTTGTTGACTTTGGGGGAGGGAGCTTAATGAGTTCGGTGTTCAGATTTGATCCGAGGCATTTATGTGGGCAAGAACTGCGACCAATGAGAAGACTAAGGCTTGATTTCGCACTTGTCTCTGTTGGGAAATTTATGTATGTATTTGGAGGATTAACAGACCAGTTTGCAATTCTAGACTCGGTTGAAAGATACAATGTTTTGACAAATATGTGGGAAGACCTACCTCCCCTTCATTCAGCAACACATTCCCTGGCGGCCATTAAGTATGAAGATAAAATCTACCTCACGGGTGGGGTCGTATTATTGGGACCAGAACGGCAGGCCATGAATACCTTTATTTGCTACCATACTACCTCTAGGCACTATGAGAGTAAACCAGGGATGTTGTATGCACGTAGGCTTCACGATATGATCTTAGTTGGTGAACGGGTTTATGTAATGGGCGGGATTCCTCGAACAGGTACCCCTCTTCATGGACAAATTCCAATAGAATATTATAGCCACATTGCAAATCAGTGGACACTGTTATCCAGTACACTAAGTGGAAGATCTATTGGTCATTATATATATTTTGATAACAAGGTATTATCTTTAGGTCACGAGCACCACAATGCTACTGAGGACGAGGTGTGGTCGTACAGTCCGGACTCTGACACCTGGGCTCGTCACATAAAAGCACCTCAGAGGATGAGTCTCACGCAAGCAATGTGTGTTAAACTTTTTGTGAATTTTGGCGACGAAAAAGTGAGTAAACTGTATATGAAAGAGAAATGACTACAAAGGAAGATTTGCTTGTGCGACTAAAAAAACACCAATTTTTGTTTTCAATAGTATTGGGACGCACATTTTTAGGCATTCCCCGGGGTTTTCCCGCATTAAATGAAAATTTAGGTTTCTAATTTTTAACTTTTAACCCCCATTTTTTTAAAAATGAACTTAGCTACCCTTTGTTCATTTTGAAAAAGTAAGGGAATTTTCTATCAAAAATCAGACAGCCTACAGTATAAATCTAGGCTAGCCTAGGCTGGCTCGATACCAGGCTAGGGGATTGTGGCAAAGGCATGTCTTTGTGGTCTCAAATAGTCAAAGGATTAACAGAAGAAAAAAAGAATGATGTCCTGTGATTCACTTAAAAATAAAGAAATATTGTTGATGCAGAGCATTGTTTGAAAATTGTTAGTCACCAGCTACCATACTGTTGCTACTACATGTATATATAATACATCAGGCACTGACATCAAGCTTTTAGTATACATAGAACATGTAGGGTCTGCTGTTAAAATTTTCCTTAAAATAATTTGTAGACTTAATGCTATAACGGGTTAAGTCCTTCTAACATTAATAGGGGTTAACCAGTTGTTGTATTAAGTTGACAAAATAATTTAATAAAAATAATCGTATTATGAACTTTTTTTATTTTAAATTTAGAGTTACTGTTGATTTTTTTTCTGTGTATATATATTAAGATCTAAAAATTGTGAAGTTTTAACCACCAAGAAATGAAAGTAATTAGGCTATGCCACCAGCATAGGGCAAGGCCAGTCTGCACATCCATGCAATCTGTACCGCCTCTGTGGTCGAGGGGTCAGAGTTGATGACTTCTAATCCAGTTACCTCTCTGGCGTGGGTTCGATCCCCAGGAGATGCTGTGGTAGTTAAGCACAGAGGAAGGTAGTCTAGTACTGGTGTAACTCTCCAGGAACAATGGTTAGGAAACTACCCGCCTATATGACTGAAATACTGTTAGGGAAAAGGAGTAAAATGAAACAAACAAACAAACAAGCATGTTAAAGTCACCAAAATTGCTAAGAAACTATTTTAAATATAGAAACTCAGAACACATTCATATAAGGAATTCAGCAAGTTAACTTAAGACTCCACTGAGGTTATTTGACGTGATTGTACTGAAAATAAATTTCTTGAAATTTATGTTCCATTTGATGATTAAAATAATGCAAGTAATTAGTTACTAACAGTACATAGTCTAGTCAGACTGCAAGGATGTGCAGGCATACATGTCCACCTGGCTCTATACTATATATTAGAGGATATTGAATGAGTGTAGGTTTAATACTAAATTTATTGAATGAGTTGAATAAAATCATATTCGAGCCTCTGGTCTCTAGTGCAAATGACATCACATCAAAGTGTCATTACACTAGTGTAATATTGTTTTTTTATTAAATGGCTTTATTACACTCCTGTGCCGTGGTTTATGGGATAATCTGGGGTTAGAAAAGTCATTAAAGGCTAGAGGCTCTTAATGAGATGGTTCAATACAACTGCTGGTATTATTGGTTTTTTTAATAAGTTTGAAAATAATTCAGATATTTAGTCCATCATAGGGCAAAATTTCCCTCTAACAGCGGAAATATTGGTTTTAACAAAATTTTATTTATACTGCTATGATGGACTGCTTGATAGGAAACCTTTGGGTTTGTAGCAGGACAAAAGCCATATCCTGCTTCCCAACCCCAAAAAGTGGATTAACCAAATCGAGCCCGGTATTTTTAAAGTCGTGCCCGAAAGCTGGTCTGTGCAGCCTGACCTTGTTGTTGTCTAACTATCAATCCTCATTTTTATGTCCCAAAAATTGATAATGAACAGTTAAAACAAATGGAAGCTGAACATGTCCATTTAAAGCATTTCAGTAGGTAAAGGTACAAACATTGGTGCATCCAAGAAAACTTATTTTTGTCTTAGGCTTTATATAAATGCTTAAATATGTATGTAGATATTCTATTGAATTCTTTCAAAGGGATTTTATAGGGAATCAAATGAAATACCTTGTTATTAATACATATACAATGTAATTACAAATTTGTGGATAGATAGAATTATAGATAGATAGTGAATAGCCCCTTGTAATGATAAATGTCTAGCTTGTATTTAAGATTTCCAACTCATAAAGCACAGTTTTAGAAATGTAATAAATACATGCATATAATGGAAAAGGCAAAGGTGACCCTTTTATTCTCATATGTTTCAAAAGGCATGATACCTCTTTTATTTTCAAGTGACTGTTGAATCCCAAGGTATGCTTATAAGCCTTATATGCATGCATCTTACAATGTACCCTCAAACCCTCATCTAGTTTATTTCACAGTGTATTGTCTTTGAATATTTTGACCATGATACATGTATTGCCCACTGAACTAGTGTCAGATACTTTAAGATGTTTAATTCCAGACTAATTAGAATAATTTGCCAATAGAAAACTGACCGAAAACAAATTTCTTTAAATTTCACACCTTTGTCAAGAAAAATCAGATTTAAAATTTCATATTATTGATGATATAAGCAATGATGGTGATAGACAATGTAATTACAGTTGGCCCATACATCTGTTACAACAGTTAAACATGGAGTAGGACAAAAAAGAAGCACCACATTAAATACCATATTTTGGTGTAAAACCAGACAAGGCCCTTGAATGATAAATGCTAATATCTCTCCTTTTCACCTGTCCCAAAATGCACTTTAAGATGCCTCATTTATCTGTTCACATTATGCGATAATCAATGAAAAATGCAAGAATCTGCGGGAAAAAACAACACAATATTATTGTACTTTGTGATCATGATTTCTGCAAGTGTCTAGATTTACTGCTCCAGCACTGTAGTGAGTTAAATTTTTAAAAATGCCACTATTGGATATTTAATGACATCTATCCTTTCCAGTTATTTGATGATATAAAGTAATACCATCATAATTTGTTATGTATTAAAAGAGAAAGGATCTTTTTTCCCACCCACATGTATTTGTAACATAAACTATAATTTAAAGGAATTCTGCTTTCGGTGGAAGTGAATAAACTTGTGGCATTTTAGTGTTAAAGTTGAAAAAGGTACAACACCCAAATATTAAGCAATAGCCTCATTTTTGGTGTTGTTGTTCAGTCCACAAAAATGATCATTTAAGTTAATAATAACCCCTTTTCTTTTTCTTTGGATTTTCATTATCATGCATGCTTTATTTGTGACTCTTGCATAACTGTCAAATATGATTAGTATAAACTGTTAAATATGTTAAGTATATATATATATATATAGTAAGTTTATAGTGTTCACTATAATTAATCTTATACTGTCAACTGTGATTAGTTTATTCTGTAACTCTGATTATTTTATACTGTCAATCATAAGTTTAGACTGTCAACTAAGTTAAGTTTATACTGCCAACTATGGGTAGTTTATACTGTCGACTATGATTAGTTTAAACATCAACTATGATTAGTTTATATTGCCGACTATGTTAAGTTTGTACTGTCGACTAAGATAAGTTTATACTGTTGACTTTGATTAGTGTAAACTGTTGACTATTATTAAGTATTTTTACTGTCGACTATAATTAGTTCATACTGTCAACTATGATTAGTTATATTGTTGACTTTGATTAGTTTAAATTGTTGACTATGATAAGTTTATACTGTCAACTGATTAGTTTATACTGTCAACTAGGATAAGTCAATGCTGTTGACTAGGATATGTCAATGCTATCATCTATGATCAGTCAATAATGTTGACTATAATTAGTAAATGTTATGCATAAGGTATGTTATATACTATATTATGAAGGTATAAAACAGGTTATGTTACCTGAGTCTTAGTTTACATTATAGTGAATCAAGCTAGTTTACAAAGTGTTGTGTGAATTGTTTGAAACATTGATGCCATAGACTTAAGTGTATTTTGCGATACTATAGACTTAAGTGTATTTTGTACTAGTTTGTTGTGTGCATTAAACTTTGCATTTAGAATTGTATCATTTTAGATATGGTCAAATTTGTCAGGTAAAACAGATCTGCCTCACAAGAATGATTTTTTTACAAAAAGCTCAGAATGTTATGTTTTTTTTTATATTTACAAACCAAATACAAAAACAAATGTGTCTTGGGCTTTATGCATGGGTTTCTGTGATACAAAAATTCTATAGGTCTTTTTTTGTCAAATAAAATATCAGTTTTTGTATTAAAATGTAAAATGGTTTCTAAACTTTAGGAAAAAATGTTTCAAAACATCTTTTTCTGCATAAAACATAAAACAAAACAAAAAATCAGTAAAAGGTGTAACATAAAAAATTCTGTAAAAAGGTGTTTATTGTTTATTTTTTCATATGCCCACCAAAATGAGGAGGCATATAGTTTTTGTAGCGTTTTCTACGTCCTTCTGTCGAAACTTTGTCATTTTTGGATAGATTTTATAATAATTTTGTATAAATGTAAAGCACATTGGGCAATGTGTCATGTGCAAAAACTAGGTCTGAAACTCAAAGGTCAAGGTCACATTCTGACTTCAAAGGAAATATTTAATAGAAATGCATTGATGTTTGTGTCTGGACAACAATTCTGTCATTTCAAGATGGATTTAAAATTACTATGCATAAATGTGTTAGACAAAATGACCATGTGTCATGGTCAAGAATCAAGTCCCAAGCTCAAAGGTCAAGGTCACACTTGAAGATCAAAATTCATGATATGTATATGGAAATAAAAGTGCATTTTTAGTTGTGTCCGGTCAACATTCTGTCAACCCTGGATGGATATAAAATAATAATATATGTACATTTGTAAGACATGCTTATGATATACTATTAATAGAAGTTCAAGGTCACACCTGTATGTCAAACATGATTGTGAATAGATAGTATTCTTTTGTGCATAGCTTGAAATAAGTATACATAAATATGCTGCTTATTAAAATGATATGTAAAGAACAACGTGGAGAAAGGGGGGAGCACATTTGCCTATTTCCAAAGACATTTTTTCTTCTTCTTTTTTTTAGTTTTTTTTAGTGGATTTTTAA